TTTGATTCAAAATTTATTCAGGTAGAGAATTCGTAATTTAATGTATGTTCCGTCCTATCCGCGTTTTCAATCACAACAAACTGCGCGGCAGTAATGTCTCTCAGAGCATGTGCAATTGTAAAGGTCATAAATATTCAAATTTTACTTTCTTTAGCTTCATTCTGTCACACAAGTTACTCCGAGCAAGGTCGGAAACTAAATACATGTTTAAAAGTAACTATTGTTTTACATCTTAGTTCCTTCAGTCTCGTTTGTAAGTGCAAGAGGGAAAAACTGGTTTCACTTAGAGAATCAGAGTGCAAGTTGATTCTGTATCAGACCATGAATGAAATCTCTCTGGTTAAAAGGGTTCATTGCACTACTACAATGTAGTAAATTCTATCAGAAAACGCGGCCTGAATGACTAGAATTTATAATACAAGAATTCACATTTCTTAGTTTTGCCACTTAATGTTCAATTATTCATCTCGTTTCGGTAAGTTAAAAGTATTTTAATTCATTAATTATCTTAAGGTGTTATTTATCGTATATAGTGTGTATGTTTGACTAATCCAGGACGATGACATCAATACTTAGAGACGTCTGTTACCAATCAGTGACCTTGCATGAACTATGACTCTGTTGCATTGGCGAGGTAATGGCTATTGCGTGGAGGCATTCAGGTATGACGCCAATTGATTCAGAAATAACGTTTGAGAACCGCGTGGAAGAAAAAGTTGACATTCATTTCCACTCAGAACTACTAAGCGGAAAATAATTAGGAAATTGTTGTTGTGGTACGAAAATCGGATAAATTAAATCACCTGACGAGTCCTCGAACGGCGATTTTTCATAACCATGACTAGAAACGTCTTGATAAAATAATTATATAGTAATAAATTAAAGAATGTTCGAGTAACACTTGTACATATAGAACACATTTTTTATGTCAAATTTGGACAAAATAGTGCTTTATAATTTGAGTGATTTGTTTTAAAATTGAGAGCGAAGTCTTGCCATAGAAAACAAATATAATAAATATCACAGCAAATACTTCTTTAACAGGTTAAATAATCTCTAAAAAAGTCCCTGCATCTTTGACGTGACTTGCTACGTTCCTGAGACACAAAATTAATTCCAAAATTTGAGGATATTTAATATTCACACAAAAAATTGGACGTTTGTTAACTTTGTGACATTTTAATACAACCGTTTAAATAAGCACTTTTCATTTAAGTATTTTAGTTCTTCAAAATTAATAATTGATCTGCAAATGAATTAAATCTTATTTTCACCATTTACCCACATTGTCTCGATTTCAGACACTACTGGGCAGATGTCCAAAATAAACTAGTACTGCTATTGCTATTCTTTAGGCAGCGTATGTAGTGAACGTAATAAGCCAGCGTGGCCTCTTGGCATCTATTTGGGGACGGCTTGGGAGAATGGATTAGCCTACGACAGGAAGTAGGGTTTTTCCGTAAAGGAAAGAACGCGGAAACGGGAGAGCACAAGGCTTTGGGAGTTTCCGGCTTTAAGAGCTTTCCACTGTTATAACAAGCGAGGGGTGGCTGACAGTAGTAGGTCACGTGCGGCGCTCGCCATATAACTGAGGTACAGAACCTAGTAAGGTGGTTCTGGGAGGCAGGCGGGAGAACCTCGTGCGTGGTGCACAAAACTTTAGCGCCACGACCGGTGGCATATGCGAGCCAGGCTCGGCGAGGCTCGAGTCACTAGTTTGACGGAGCCGTGCGGACTTTATGTCCTTGAGTGACTGCGGTCACGGGGGAGCGATGCTGTTGCGTGCTCGAGTGGATAGAGTTGGTTGAGTGCCACGATTCACGCCGATTCTAATCGGATAAGATCGCTCCTGCGATCGAGGCCACCAGCCGTTGGTGCGCCAGGAACGACTTTGTGTCCCAGCGGACATCCGTCACGGAAAGTAGGCTTTGTGCGCGCTTCAAAAGTAGGAGTGGCGAATGCCACAATCAAAACCATCTTCAATCGGTTTGGATCGCTCCCGGCGATAGGGGAGTATGTCTATCAGAGCTAGGTGTAGTAGATTATTTAAGTGTATAATTTGTTTTGTTTTCTTTGTTAATAAATATTTTTATACGAAAGGCTCTGTGTCTGTGGGTCGCTGTGAGATCCATGACGTCACAGTAGGGAAAATTTGAGTATTGACTTTCAAAATTTAGAGAAAGCCGATATCTGCTTCTAACAAGGAATTGCCAAATCTTAAGAACAATTCACAGTCAAATTTCAACAAAGGCTGCGTTGGGTAATTACTTTTAAGGGAATAGAAAACTGCAATATGCAATTTTATGAGGTACATGGCACCCCGTAATTTGTAGAGATTGCTTCAACATCCAGGACTTTCACAAAAAGTTCACATACCGTTTTATCTCGTCGTGTTGCGTGCCTATAATGAATTATATATTTATGACGAACTATATTAACTGCCCGTACTTAACAAATTTCAATCCTAAGAATATATTGTAAAGTTACCTGCGGCATAGGGAATATACTATACGTACAAATCCGATTACGCCGAAAAAAGACGAACCTTACAAGTTCAAAAATTCACTCTACAAATTATACCTGCGAAAGTTTTTTTGCTTGAGAAAACATAACACGTCTGCAAACCGAACACCCTCTTTTAGCATATTTAGCTTACTGTTTTCCCTACTATCGAAAACAAGGAAGTAGAAGTTTCAAGGTCTGCATTGGGTGGCACGAACCGGCGTCTCCATCTCGGGGACTTCGGGCTTTCTTGATCGAATCCGCTTGTTAGCGCGCGGGGCTTGCGAGTTTCACCTCCTCGCCTTCGGTGCTTCCGCCCCCACCGCCCCCTGGACAAGCCGCGGATGCATGGGATGCACGGCATTGCCGCCATCTTGCACCGACCGCCGAGAAGGTTTTGCCACCGGCGCGACGCAACGACTCGAGAATGGACATCGCGAGCGGTTCCAACTGGGTGTGCAGAGGCAGTTTGGGGATCGAGGCAGGAGAAGGGTCAGCAGTGACATAACCCCAATCCCATTCTAACAAAACCTACTGGAAGAACGTCCCTAACTAATTTAGAAAAAAATAGGAGTAAAAATTTAAGGAGCACAATCGCGAATTAATTAGTGAAGCAACACAAACGTAAAAAATCGCGAATTTTTGTTATTGCTGACAAAACGGTCAACAATGTCTGCAACATTTTGTCATTGCTGAAACCTGTCATTGCTGTCACTGCATTCATGTATTGAAAATTATCAACTACATCGAAAATAAAGGGAATTGTACAAAACTTAATTCAGAAACCCGGATTGCCTCTGTGATGTGCAATATTAGACTAATTAAAATATTGAATATAGAATTTGCAGAGTCAAAAACTACATCAAGAAAACAAAACAGTTACTGAACTGATTGGTCCCGTGGATCCATCGTAAGGAAACTACACATTATTGCAATAAACCGCCACTAGTCCGTGACCTCCCAACAACATTGAAGGTCTAGAAACGTGTCTACAGTGCCAAGTCGAATGGTTCAAATTGTATAAATATCAAAGTTGCATAATCGTATTTGTATATTGCCGTTATACTATCTTTATTAGAACTCGATTGCCAATATTAAAAATACATTTGAGCTTTCACAAATTCTCCATGGAAATGCAAGGGTAATTTATAATTTACCTTGCCGCCAGCTTACAATACGTAAAGGAAAGGTGGCAGTTTCATAGCATTGACAAGTCGTTGACACAAACCCCATAAATGTGTTGCCGATTGTTAGGGAATTCCTTTCCATATTTGCATTAAACAGATAAAATACGAAAAGCGTGTAATTTTGTAGATTAATTATTACGAAGAAATTGTCAGTGGCAAGTTCAAGTTGCATCACTCTTTACCAATGCGATCAACACGGGTCCTTGGCACATAACGGATCTGCGTTATATTCTCACAATCTTCAGGGAGACCTTTTTGAACCGTGGCTCTTTTAAAAAGCCATAGTCAAAATGAGCTATGCTGTGCAGCGTATTACCTACCTCCGATGATTCCAGTTAATAGATTTGGGACAAAAATAAAGGTTGCAATAACTGCACATAATATGAAGTCCAATTTATTCCATTGAACTACTGACTTAACTCGAGAAGATCTTGACATTGTCCAGAAAGCAACTGTTTTATTACACTAATTCTATTGTTGTAATTGATATGTTGTAGGAGGTTATAAGCGCATTGTAGTCGTAACTAAAAATACTTTTTCCATTGCATTTTCGGTTTTAAGTAAGAGTAAGGCTTATCCTAAAAGCTCTACAATCCCAATAAAAATTCTAAAAGGTCCTTTAACCCCTATATCTCCCGAAATCCGAATCATTTCATAATACCACTGCACTCGTCATAACATTTCGCACTCTGTATTAACACATTTGGAGCAAAACGTACTGAATGTTTCTTAGTCTACTTTCATTATGATTGCTAAAATGTAAATATTTGCCCTGAACGTTTTTTTTTAAAAAAGCTTAATTCACATCTGCACTTAGCACACATGAAAGTCAAAACAAAATAGAAAAAATATGTGCATGAATAGTACTATGAAAATATGAAATTGTTTGGTAGAAAAAAAAGTTTGTGCCATTCATGAATGCCCTCGCCGTTAGTTTCAAATCAGGAGTGTATGTCATCTCAATATACGAGAAACAAATAAAAAAATGTGCTAGAGTTCAAGTGAGTGCTGCATACGGTGAACACTTCAACGAAATGGCACAGCTGAACTTGCCACATATCATCTGCCTAAATCGCACTTACTAAATTCACATTTTTTGCTGATGCACTGATGGATTTCTGGTGGACTGAAAATATGTGAAAAGAGTTTGTGCTGTTTCTTTTAAAGTGGAAAATAAATAGAGAAGGTCTGAAATAATGTGATACAATCGACGGGTTGCGTGCCGTAACAGGTACGCGACCATTGTTAAGGCTTCAGCGTTTCCCACTCGCACACGCAGGCAAGCCGCTTTCGCGCCGCGCGGCGCCTCACCTGAAGGTCGTGGGGTCGATCTCCGCCAGCTGGTTCTGCGACAGGTCCACCTCCACCAGCAGGTCCAGGCCGCCGAGGTCGGCGGCGGCGACGGCGCGCACGCGGTTCTCGCGGGCGGTGAGCCTCCGCAGGCGGCAGCCCTCCGGGAACGGGCCCAGGCGCTCCAGCCTGTTCCCGGAGAGGTCGAGGGCGTGCACGTCGGGGCTGAGGCCGTCGGGCACCGCGACCAGCGCCCGCCGCGCGCAGTCCGTCTCCCAGAAGATGCGCGAGTAGCGGCAGGCGCACGCGGCGGGGCAGGGCTGGCTGTCCGGGAGGTCGGCGCCGGCGGGGGCGGCGGTGGGGCCGTCGGGCGCCGCGACGCCCAGCGCCGCCAGCGTCGCCAGCGCCACGCACACGCGGAGCGCGGTCGCCGCCATCGAGGTGTGCCGCAAGGCGCGATCGGAGCCCGGCGAGACCGCGGCGCGCACTGACCCGCTGGAAGCCGCTGCCTGATGGCGGTTGGCGGCCGCCAGACCGCGCGGTGGCTGCTCGGCTTTCGCTGCCGCCGCCTCCGTCGCCCCTTGCGCAAGCTGCGCGGCGCTCCGCGTCACGAGGCCGCCTCCGCCCCCGCCCCGCCCCCGCACGCGGCCTCGCCGACGTGCACGCCGGCACGCGCGGATGGAAACACCTGCCGACTGCACCGGCCGCGCGGCAATATAAATGATGGATTGGGCACATGGACGTGCAGGCCCACACTGAAGCGGCGAGGGCAAGGGCTCTTGTAAAGACTGCCCCCAAAAGAAATTTGCAGAGCCACATTATCTTTAAAATGTACATACACAATCGTATTATTCTCAAATTTTGAATCAGTGCTCTTATTTTCAAACCTCTTTGCTAAAAATGTGCCTTTACAATTTTATGTGTCTCCTCGTTCATGCTCCTGATCTGAATTACAATATATGATCCATTTTTATTACATATTTTTTCATTATTATTTGTATTGAGATTTCTATGGTAACATTAAAAACTTACTTTAAAGTGTAAGCATTTCTTTCTCCAGTTAACGATTGCATTATATAAACTGAGTACAATTAAATCGGATTATTTTCTTGACGGAGTTCATATTTACCTTACACTACCAGGAAAACCTTGAATGTGCAAAAGATCAAACTCGTTTAAAGAGAAGAATATGCCAGTCACCTGTTAACTTCCTTCAATACCAAACAGAGTTTCTAGTAAGAGATTTTTGCCGCTGTTTGAATATTTTTAGTGCCAAATATTTCGTTCTTAAAACTTCCAAGTAGGAGAAACCCTTCGCTATATATATCTACTACTAAACGCATTCTTCAAATTATAGTAATTTTCCGGCATACTTTGTCTTGCGTGATGCACGAAGTACAAGATAAAACCCGAAATGTTGCTTTCGAGACGTCGTTGGGGAGAGTGATTTACGCAGCACGCGCACTGTACCTCGCCGCCGCCCCCGCAATATCTGACCCGCGCGGATTGAGCACATCTGCAGCTTGCTCCAGAGCGCAGCGATAGGATGGGAGGAATGGCGCAGCCGTTCGAGATAAGGAACAGAGCTTTGCGTTCGTAGCGAGGTCAGGAGGGCAACCTCCCTGTGGCTCCTGCTGGGTCGCGTCGCGAAGCTGCGTCCTACAGCCAAGGAATCAACCGGTCCCTAAAACGCTTTCCTTCTTTTGAGTTATCTGATACATTAATAGTAGTTTATGCAATGAGATTTTAATGGTAAGCTGTATTGTATGAGCTCATGTTTTGAAAACGAGCGACGTTAGAAGGGAATAGAAGAAAGCAACATTATAAACGAGTTGCATTCGTTATTTTTTATATAATAGCATTATAAATTTATAGGAGAAAAAATTTTGATTTTGAGAAACAACTTTGTGACTTTGCGTGTATTTGACTTGTATCCGAGGAAACGATGGCCGGCTGATCAATTTACCGCTACCACTCGACGATTGTCTGGCAGCGATTGGCTGAATGTGTGATGATGATGATTAGTGTCGTAAAATGCTAATACGTCATCATTTGTGCCATAGAAAGCTCTTTGATGAACGATTTCTAGCAACTGAAAAGGTCGTTTATAATGCTGGTACACAAAAACGTCTTCGAAATTGGTTTTTTTTGTAATACAATGGGGCTGTATCCAATTTAAAAATTGTTCCTCTATATGTTTAAATTTTTCTTCTCATTATAAACTTTCAGAATATAAGAATTGTTATCACATTCTGTATTCGCACATTTTAAAATTTTGGTGCCTAATCTCTAATGAATAATTATAAGCCCTCCTTGAGACATATCCATGCTTACCGCGTGCTTTTTGGACTCTGATACGCTGGAGATTTTTTCTCCAAAAACTGCGACACTGAAGGCGGAGATAGAAACAGAGAAATCATATCTTATATTCAAACATCAAAAATTGTCAGCACATTACTGACTAAACAAGCACGACCTTCAACGAAGTTCAATTCCTCGAAAACGTCAGTTGGTCGCAAGCTTTGATGAAACACGAGTCGTTCGTCGCTCTATTGGCTCTACATGGGGTAGAGAGTACTCTTCGCCTATTTACTAGGCCCAAGTGTAAGAGTTGCTATTCGTCACACAAAATCAATGCAATATAAAAAATCGTAGCCGGACAAATAATGTGAATTTTGAATGTTGTCTTGTACGCGCCAAAAGAGACGAGATCAGCTGATGCTGAATCCACGCGAATATCTAATAAAATGACATCATATTCGTATTCGTAGCTCTGTCAAATTCAGTGGCTGTCTGGAGGAGAATTCTAGCGGTCGGTTGCACTGACCGGCAGTTTTCAGTGCTTTCTCCGATCAACCCCAGGTGAATGCTGGAGCAGTACCTTAACAAACGTGCCACCGTGATCTTTCCTTCCTCTTCTTTGTCCTATCCTCACCTCTCACACGTACATGTTCTACACTACCGCGTATGTCGGGAGACCAGGCGGGGGCTAAGAGCTTGTCTCGGCTGAGGGGGTGCTCCGCTGGTGAGAGATACCCGGTCGGAGAAAACTCCGCACGTAGGTCAGCGCCGGAATTCACCATCCAGCGAGGGAAGGACACAGCTACCTCCCCCGTTAAAGAATGCATTGATAAATAATACATGATAAAAGCATAAATGATAGTATTTATAATACAAACTATTCTTGACAGACTATTTAGAGTTTGTAACAAGATTTTACACTTGAATGTGCTGGAAACCTAATTGTTACATTCTAGGAGAGGGTACCGTTAGTATTGGCTCAATCTCAACACGCGGCCGCCCAAATTTCACCTCACTTTTCTTCCGAAACTTTACAATAGATATTTTATAGCTTTGACTCTGCTTCACAGTATTTCAGACAATGTATAATTTGAAATACCTGTACAGTAGGATATTTCATTTCGAATTGTAAAAACCCCGTAGTAAAAAATGACTTGCAGAATTGAAATCAGCACGCTAAAATTAGCCTCAATTACCTGTTGAAACACAATCTGGAAAATCATTGCAGGTCACATTTGTCTATAAAACGTAAGCAAAGGTTGAATTTTATAGTAATTATATTGAATCACTTTTAGTAGTGAAGTATCTACTTACTAGTGACATACAGTGGCTCACTTTTTTATGCGGACTCCCAGATATACTCCAGAAATCGTATGTTCTGCGCTATTTTGACGGTTGTAGGAAAAAAATATATGCAAGAAAGTCAATCAGAATTGTTCCTTTATCAACGGATAACAGTATAAACAAAACAAAAATGCTGAATATAGTTGACGCATTCAATAAAAAAGAAAACAAAATAAAATTGCCTAGATTCACTAGCCACAGTAATATTCGGACACGTGAAATGAAATATAACATATATGAATAAATAAATAAATGAAAAGAAAATTAATACTTTGTAGCATAATCATTGTTGTCAATGAAATGCTGCAATCACTTTGGAATTGAACCAATACTCCTTTTCAGGTACTGTTGTCCAATTTGTGCCCATTCCTCCTGGATTCTCGTTTGCAGATGGGACTTTGACGTAATTGGGATTCTCCAGATTGTATATTCTAACTCATGCCATAAATTCTCGATTCGATTGAGTTCAGGAGACTAAAGCGGCGTTTTCAGTACTATTGGACAATTGTAAAACAACCATTCGCACACTAAATATTATTTGTGTTTCGGGTCATTGTTATTATAAAATTTAAACGAGTTCCTGATGCCTAGTGTGTCAACAGATTTTTGTGAATTCTCTCTCAGTGTGTTGAGATACTGATGTTTGTCCATTGTGTCTTTAATAAACACCATCTCCCCACGACAACAACTAGTATGTAGCCATACACAAATATGTGTCCACCTCAGTGTTTCACAGTTGACACTACGTTTTTAGGATGCAATTCTGTTGGTTTGCACCATATCGTTTTCCTACCGTCACTGACAAAAATAATAAACCTTTTCTTACCTATAAAAATTACCTCACGCCACCACTCTTCTGAATTCGTCTCGTATTCCTTTGAAAACTGAAGTCAATTAGCTCTGTTTCCAGCACCTATAAAGGGTTTCTTCCTGGCCGCTCTACCGTGATATCCGGCATTCCTAATTACTCCGCGCACTGTTTCGGGGTGCACAGATGTCCCTGACGCTTCGCGCAGTTTCACTGCCAGCCGGACGGCACTCACCTTCAAATTTTCTCGTACTCTCCTCAAAATTCACGCTGCTCTCTTTCGCAGATCATCTTACGTTGTCCTTGTTGCGGTTTAGATACAATTCTGTCTTCTTTCTCAAATCTCTTAACGATATCGTACACCGTGCTCTTGTTCACGAGTAAAAGATTTGCAATCTCCGTGCAGGAGCGTCCTTTTGCGTGGTGGAAAACCACAAGTTGCCATTGCTCGAATGTCGAGTACTTTCCCTTGTGTCTCATTGCAATAGGTGTTTCCAGGCGAAAATATTTACAGCGACTGACTGCAGAATTTCATTTGTTCTCCGTATAGGATGGTGCGCTTGTCGCGCTATCTAGGAGTGGGGAGAGGGTAACAGGACATTTTCCATTACGTGTCCGAATATTAATGTGACATCGTATTTTTGTATTTTCACACATTAATCTGTGTTTATGAAACGCATGTTATGCAACAGAAACATTTTATTTGTATTATTCTGTTTCCTAATAATAAAGTCACGGTTCCATTGCATTTCCTCACATGTAACGTCTGCACAAGTGCGACAAATTGCATCCAAACGAGAAACGCCTTCAGTATTTGTGGCTGTCCGAATATTAATGTGAGCCACTGTTTTTACCTTTAAACAGAGAAAAATTGTTCACGCTGTTGAATATGATTTTCTTTGCTTTGTCGTGACATTTTCTGTGGGACAAAGTAATGGTTCAATAGTGAGTCCCGCACTGTTTCTTCCTTTCACACTCCTGGTT